TCTCTCTCTCTCTCTCTCTCTCTCTCTCTCTCTCTCTCTCTCCCCTACTTTGCCTATTATCCCTGACAGCCCTTATGCTCATATTAAGATCTACTTCAGTGATTTCAGGGCTGTTTCAGCCATAAACTCTCATTTAGGGAAAATTAGCTTGAGTCTGAGTCTTGTTACTATACCGTCCTTAACAGCATTAGGCCTTTCTTGTGGCTTTTAAATACCAACGAGGATGGATAGTACCATTCAAATAAACCTCCACCAACCTACTCTGTTAACCATATGTAATAGCTACACATCTATTGTTTGACATGATTGTATTGCCGTTGTGCCATCCTCTTAGTGCCACACAGCACTCACTGATTGTTATTATAAATAAACCCATAAATGGAAGCAGGATTTTTGCATTTATGAATCAATTTTACAAAGATGTACTTTCAAACAATGACTACAATTAAAGGCCTGGCGTTCCTTTAAGGATGGTCTTCTGCTCCCTGCTGCAGTGTTTCAAACTGAAATCATCTTATGAAAGGACACAGTGGTTTAAAAGTAAATGACGTTAAGCAACATCTCGTGTTATTGTTCAAAGCATATGTTGAGGATGAGTCTCAGCTACTACCACTTTAATCTTTAGCTCTATATCTCTCATTTTGACTGCGTTATAGCCACTTTGTGTTGGCTAAGGCTAGCTAACTGTGACTTGATTTGACCTCAACTGGTAGGAAAATGTTCAAAACAGATCTTACAATCAATTGATGAGACTTCGAAGTGTCAGGAAGTTCTGACAATCTACTTAAACACAAAAAATACCCAAGAAATGTTTATTCTTCCAGGTGTTTTAAAAGTGTGGACAAACGTTTCCCTCAGCTTATGCTCCGGTGCAACTTTGTATTTTTATGAGCCGTGGCAGCTCGAAAAGACGCGGCTCTGGCCCCGTTTCCTCCCACCCAGACGAAGCGCCGTCAGAGCGATGGACGCGGACCATAATCATCTTTTCCAATTACGCTCCATCTCAGACCACTTATTCCACACAAAATGACATCACTAATGCAGGACATCACACAAATGCCTCTCAGAATTTTGCAACCGACTCCAATTTATACAATCAAACAAATAGTTGGGGGCTGTAATGAGAAAAGCTTTTTCCAAGCCTTCCTTGTAAAAGAAATTGCTCTGCACAGCTGGGAAGAATATTTAACATTTGGCCACTCGAGACCCTAAAAACATGAGTCTGAAGCCAAAATGAGCAGCATTCATGCACGTTTGCCTGGTTACTTGGATTATAAGGTCTGTGCATAGGATAAAATAAGACAAGTTTTGAATTAGAAACTGGTGCATGGCTGGATGAGAGGGTTTATGTTGAACTAGTGGCTTTTTGAACATAAAGAAATCTATTAAATCCACTCTCCAACAAGAGTGTTTGACAAAGTCCTGCTCTAATAGATTAAGATCCTTTCGTCACATTAATATTATAACCACTTCACCCAAAGATTTAGTCACTCCCACTGCATGAGAAAGCTTAAAAACCACTGCCGTTTAAAGCTGGAAGCACCTGGCATTGTTTTCCCCTCCTTGTTCTGGAATAAGTTTGTCTGGAGACGAAGGGTTAAGGAGGAAGAGAGCCTCTGAAGAGGTGCCTGCTTAACCTCTGACCTCGTGGTGTAGGAGAGAGATGGAGGGGAAGAAAGAGAAACGGAGCCTGTAATGAATGGAGTGGAAAAACCTCAACAGACACATAATCATGATGTAAATTACTTAAATGTTCAAGAACAAAAAAAGGAGGTGTTTTTTCCTCTTAAATAGATCGGTTTGGAAAACAACAAAAAGGTACGAGAGGCAAATAAAAAAAGGTTTTCATGAGAGAAAGGCAAAAACATGTTAGATTTGAAGAATGGCAAATAGCACTCTGAAGAGGAATCTAGCC